GTACTTAAACGTTTTACAGGAACACTAAATATGTGTAACAAAGCTAACTTTAAAGGGTAATGATAACATCGTTTACACTAGAATTATGATGTAAAAGTACATCAAGCACTAGAAGTTTGCTTAGGTGAAATATAGAAGAAACAAATCGACTTTTCAATACACCTATGATCTTCACAATACTTTATTTAGAATTCCACAAAGGATTTGGGTGCAATATACCAAGCCGTATTTGTCGTATGCTGGCAAGAGAATAATAATAAGGAGAAGAAGAATTACAAACAGGCAGTTTTTAACCGATTTTATTTTCCTTGTAAATCTAACATGCATACTTTTCTTGTGAATTTTTATATGTGTACAGTCTTATCAGTCAATAGCACAGAGTTTAAAGTATTGTTTGAATGAATCTTTACTGCTTAAGACGCTCTTTGCTCGAACGTTCTATTAGGGTTTAATGCAATTCCTTGTGATCCCTATTATGAACCACTGTCGTGGTTCATGATAATTTCTCATTAAATCGGTGGCAAACAGCAGGAAACTAAATACGTAAAACACCAATACCTTATTTAACAGCATTATTAGACGATTTTATTTTGTTTGTAAAAGCGAAACCTATAGAACTCGTTTACTGTTTAGAGCCCTTAGAAAATAAATAAATAAAGTAAAATTAATCGTAGAATAAAAGTAAAAAATAAATAATATTTGACTTTATAAGTGAATAACAGATAAATATGGAATGAGAGTTAATAATGAAAATTGACCTATAAAATTAGATATATATAATAACACATAACCAGGCTTCAGTGAGCTCAATAGTAAGTCTGAAGACTTGTAACGTGGTGGTCACAGAACAGATAACCCATTATGTAGCCTTGCGCTTAACAACAAGCAAACGAAGTTTCAGTGTAATGAAAGTAGGCCTAAAAATAAAATATATGATTTTAATTAAACGTAAGCCTAGATCCAAAAAAAAGTTACTACGTTAAACTCTTTTACGAAATAATGTACAGTAAAATAATATCGTTGAAGCAAATAATTCTGCGGATGTACTTATATTACTTAGTGTTCGATAACGTACTGACAGTGACAGGATAAATATTCTTGCTTCTAACATGTGGTGAGTGAAATTAATCGTGTGATCGTTTACGATTTGCTTTATTAAAGCTAATACAACACAGGATATTTTCGGTAAACAATGACGTTATTACACATATTGCTCAACATTATTTTTAGAACGAGAAAAACGTCATTTTATCAAGTTAACTTCGATAGTTTGGTTGGTTTTGAATTTCGCGCAAAGCCGTCCTTAATTTAGCAGTG